TCATTTCAAGACCCAACCTCTTCACCTGATATTGAGCAGCACAAATGATCAATGTTGCCAGCAACACTAAAACATCTGGGATGGGTAGAAAGGGCATGCTGCTGCATGTAAATGAACACCCAGGGTTTTACAGACACCACAAACAGCTGCTGGTGACAGCACATTTCTGCCTGGCAGAGAGGAACTAAATAACATAACCAAGAGCTATTTTGCCAGCTAACAAGTGCACAGACCAACAAAGACAACACGGGGATGGCTGCAGTGCCAGCTTGGCACAAAAGGGGAGAAAAGCACAACACTTAGGCATGTCCTGTGTCTTTCTCACCAAAAGAGCCGAGCTGCACTTTATTAGGAAGGTTTTGCTCAAAACTAAGTGAAGACCACCTTAACACAGCAAAGACCATTCCCCTGCACCCACAGCAGCCTGAAAAGCAGTATCCCTGTGCAGCACTGGATACATGCCACACCATGGAATAACACTGCCTGGTTTTAAAGCATCATACTGGGGGGGATGCAAAATAACCCTCCTGCCACAGAGGCTAGGAAAGAGCCGCAGGCACACACTGATCATCAGCAACTACACAGGGCAGGAAAAGCACAGCGAACATACAAACCTGTGGCACCCATTCCGTTCCCTTCAGAAATGCACATGGTGTGAACATTTCCAGCAGCACACGTTACCTTTAGCAGCAGCTTTACAGAGAGGTGAACAAACCTTTAAACACGACACAGTGGATTTGCACATTCCTGAGCTAGCCTGGGTATTTTCTTCTCAGGGTGACTGCTGCTCAACTACTTTCTGCTGTAACAACAAATCTACTTAACTTTGCAACTTGTCACCTAAACGATGTGTAATGTTTGCACAGCTAAGGATACAGTGTTCAAACAGCACAGGTGGGGAATTGCACGCTGGGATGCATAACTGATGTGGGGTCTCCACACGCTGCAAAGGAAAGGGCAACATGAGTGATGGCTTTAAAGTAGTCATCTCATCGGCCTGTCAATAACCAGCTGAAAGCTAAACAGGTTGGGTCAGGTTAGGACTGCAGCAATTGGCCACCTGAGTGTCTTGGTATTTTAGGCTTGTTGCTATAATAATGCTGGGTTTATATCTTTAAATAGGAAATTGCTTTGAATCTTTTTTTTTTTCATACATCAGGTGTCTTGCCTGGTGGTCTCCTGGTTGTGCTCTCCAGGAGATTTGGGTTCAGTAACTGTTCATGCTCTCTAGCTCATCGGTTTTAAATAAATACAGCTAATTCTGTTGCCTGAAGCCATAACCCGTCCTGTCAGATTCATATGGGTCACAGCAAGGTTGTCCCCACTTACTGGGAGAATGAGGGAGGTCTCCAAGGCAAAATGACTGCCACAGAGAATGCAGCTTTTGAGGGTTACACCGCACCTGGTGCTTCAAACTCTGCAGAAGCCTCTCCAAAACACTGGTCTTCTCTCTACATCTTTTAAAATAAAGATATTATTCTCCATATTAATCAAAATAAGATTTCACAACAGCCCAACAGAATCGCAATGAAGCACGTGACACACGTTAAATATGATTAAAAACCAGCATCTCTTTCAGATGCATCTTGTAAGATGCTAAGCTATGGATATTCATGTGCTCTTAGCAAGATTTTTAACTGTTTAGAGGAACTAGCTACAAGGCCTCAAGAAGTTTTTTCAAAAGATTGTTCAAAAAATCGACATGAACAGAAAAACCCATCTGAAGCAGCTTTTACATGAACTGTTGCCTGCCACTCTAGAACTTAAAGCATTCCAAAAAAGAATGGTGCACCACCAGCCATAACTGGCAAAGAGACAATAAATATATATATTATTTTCTTATTTTTAGTAAAAAGAAAGACTTTAAATCACTGTGTCACGTGCAGTTTTAACAGCATTCCTCTTGAAACAGCATTGTAAGAAGCTGAATTGAGAACTAGGTATTTAAAACTACAACCAAGCCTAAGCTGCATGAAGACAGGTAATTGCAGATTAATATTCCACTGTAATACTTATGCACAAGAGTGCAGAGTTAAAGTTGCCATGGGAAACAAGCCTGAATTTCTTCTACTTTTCAGCAATTCACGATCATCCTTAATAAAGGTTTTGGCAGGTGATTTCTAATGCACTCAGCTTAACAGCCACACGAAAACCATGCAAGAAGAAAGCTGCTACAGGGGGATGTCTAGATAGAATAGGCAGGCACATCTCCATTAACCACCTCTGGGTAGGATTTTGACAGTCTCTGTTACTTGTGAGCCACCCTCTGCATTCCCATCCTGGCATAGGATTGTTGTGATACAGGCTCCACAGAGCGCTGCTTGAGAAACACGCAGAAGGTATTTTGCAGCCTGCTTCCCAGCAGTCCCTCCATAACCTTCTCCCAAAGCAGGTTTGTGATTTCAGGGACATATTCCTCCCAGGAAGTCCTTTGAGCCTAGACCATGGCTCTCAAGGCAGCTTGCCTATCCCACATCTACTCGCCCTGAGCAGGGAGCTCAGCAGGGACTGCACATCTGTTGCTATGGCCTACATTTGGTGGAAATCAACATCCACACCCATTACAAGGTCAGTCTATAAATGACAGCATCTCAGAAGCGGAGACACATCACTCAGTTGTCTCTGCCATGGGAACGAGATGACCGGTAAAGCAGTATGGGCAGCAAGAGGCAGTGATCATGGCTTCCCAGGGGAACATCACTGCCCTTGACCCTCCTTGATCCCCATTACTGGGGCCACACCATGAGACCTTCAATAGAGATTGGGTAGCATAAAAGGGAATGGAAACAAAGGAGTCATCAGGGCTCCCGAATGAGCATGAAGAACTTCCCCAGGGGTAAAGCCAGCAAGCAGAAAAGCACAAGTAAACACACTGGAAGGGGAAGCAGATGTGGCAGTTGCACACCTTGGTGTAGATAAAAAGATAGCTCTTCCAGCAGTTTCTGGTAAGAAACCAGAATATTTTGAAATGCAGTTAGTGAGAAATGTGAAGTGTGCTGCATGTTGACAAGTGCACTCTGTAAAACTTCAGGCTGAGCTGGCTAAGCTTAGCTATGCCTACCCCTTTAATGTAACCTGGATCACAGCTTAGCTCTGTATACACAGCCTCCTTGTCAAATCCCAATGCATTTGAATTGCATTGATCTAGACTTCTACTTTGCAGGTATTAAAACAAAAGAAGAAAAAGGATCAGGATCATGGTGAAGATCAGCACTTGACCATTCCTAGGTAGATCCCAGGTGTGTCCTCAGACCAAACCTCCAAAACCTATCTGCCACTGCTCCAGTGAAAGAACCTGCCACTAAAACCCTGCACAAAATATCACTGACATGCATGGCACAGTTTGCTCACCATGACATAAAGCCCAGCAGTGAAGAGAACAAAAGCCATGCTGGTCAGCAAAAAGGTAAGATGTAGGTAAGGGCATCAGCTAAAGCCTTATTTTATGAAGTTGCCCAATTCTGGCAGGCATCTTCTGCCTTTGCAGCTACACTGATTCCCATGTAGCAAGAGCCACTTCTTTATTTGTCAAACTAATTTGCTGGTGAGGATGTGAAGGACTGACAACCCTTTCCACACATGATGTGATACAGACAGGCACTAAACACAGCAGACTAGAAAAACAACACTGAAGAACATCTCCACCTTAAAGGTGCTATCGCACCAACAAAATATATAGCAGATCTGCATTGGCCCAGACCATTACTTTCCCTGGCAAGGACTTGGGGACAAAGCTCCTTAAAACAGTAGTAATCATATTCCACTCATGCTCCCTTTTACTGCTAGCTGTAAACTACCTCCACATGCATCATGGTTTTGCATCAAAATGTGCACAGACCAAGCCCATATCCAAAGGGACAAGGTAGATCCAATTTACAGCTTTGACAGGTCCGCGCACCCGAGGCAGAGCATGCAGGAAATAGCCTGACATCTCACTTGGAAAGCAGTTAAGACCTTGCTAGCAGAACTGGATGCACAACCACAACAGCCTCCCACAAAGACCCAGCAAAAGAGCAGGGAATTTGCTGTCCATTTTTCAAGAAACACAAGAGGCAGGTGGCACTCACCAGGGCACTACTGAGAATGAGAGGAGTCAAGTCTGATCCTGACTTGCAGCATCCCTTGGACAAGCCCAAGAGAAAGCAGAGATATGAACACACAGTATTGAGTTACTTTAGTATGAGATACCATGCTGAACATCACTCAGATTTTAGTGCATACGAGGCAAACTGCTTGGCAGATGAGGTTAAGAAATCCAAATTCAGTTTAGACTCATAAATTCTGTTTGCTACCAACCCAATATTAGTTGTTTGGGGTTTGGGTTTTTTCCCCCTTTTTAGCAGTTTTCTAATTTAAATGGAAAACCTAGGCCCATCCTGATGACAACTGAAAATATATTTACTAATATGCTGGTACTGTACTTCATCTGGATCTTTGTATGTCTCAAGTGGTAAGTCACTGCAAAATCTCTCTTGTCTCATTACAATCCAGAGTTAACACCCAGGCAAGATAATTGAAGAAAAATCAGAGAGCTCCAAAATATTGTTCTTCTCTACTTAGAAACACCATTATGTTGCACATACTCATACCATTCAAACTATTCTTGTCCTAAAGCTTTTGGCTACCAACAGCCTTTTTCCTTGCAGAATCAAACAAGGTTGCCATGAGTACACTACTAATGCAGGTTCCCAGCCAAAAAATTTTTACTCTCCCCCTCGTTCAGACAGATGACAAGCATACATGACTTAAGAGATGGTTTCAGTTACATGTGAGTTGTCACCTCCTCAATGAAAAACAGGCTCCTTCATTTCATTCCCACTAAGCGGTCTTGGCATTGCTCCTGAGAGAGCAGGTAACTGGCAAGAGCTCTGGAAGACCAGCAACAGAAAGGTGGGACAAACCAGAGAAAATGAGTGAGACAGCACTGTGCTTTTTCCTGCCACCTCTCAGAACAGCAGCAGCAATTTGCAAGAGGATAATTAACAGGATTGACTATTTACCTGAGGATGAATCTGTGGTTTATCACATGTAGCCTCAAAATCCAGCACTAAGAAGTAGTGATATCTCTGTGGAGGGAAGGATGACATTGCTGCCATGGAAGCTCCAAAGCCGTGGGACGCCAGTTTCCTGCTTACGATGGAGCTGTACTCTTTGAGAACACCAGCTGGGAGGAGGGAGCACACAGCTTGTCTTGCCCTTGGAAGTAAGTTTTGGGGAAACTTTGCTGCTCCAGTATGGAGGAGTGCTATCATTGAACATCCAGAGGCATCTGAAACTGAAGAGAGACTCATGTTACTCATGCAGACATACATCTCATCTCTGCTAGCATCTCTCCACTGTCCTCCTCTGACAGGGATTTCCTCTGTGCTTGCTGGTGGAGGTTCCAGCATCGGAAACCTGAAGTAACACAGTAACCTGCTCTAAGCACAACAGATGACATTTGGAGTGAGCTCAAGGTGTCCAGAATTACAGGCGACTGGAAGTTAACCACTGCAACAGTGGTTCTAAATTAAGAACTACGAGACAACAGTCATGGCTCCAGGCACCAGCATGCAAAGCTGAACCTTATCATAGCAGAACACAACACAAACCACATAAAACATAGAAAATCTATTCTAAACCCCACGGAAAGAGATGATCTCCAGAGATCCCTTCCAACCCCAACCATTCTGTGATATTTCTGAGGATGCCTTTTGTCTTTTCATGTACTTCTGATAAGTGGCAGGAATTAAATACAGCAATACATATATCAACACTACAACCCATCCAAGGAGCTTGGCCCTGAAACACCTCTTTAGTTGCACCAAAACCTCCCACTTCCATTACCAATTCATGTGTCTGGTGGCTGGAAGGCTCTTCCCCATGGGAAATTCTCATTTGCTCTGTGTATGAGGTTTCTCAGAGATGTGATTCTAGTGCTACACTCAATTTCTTACTTCAGGTAGCTCTCAGAGGATATTGGTTCAACAAACCCACACCCAGGGACTTCAGGAACTCTAAAATATAAGCAGGACTCTATAGGTTACAAGCTCCCTCCCAAAGAAACACCTCACCCAGCCATCACCTTCTGATGCTTCTATTTAACAAACGCTATGTAATAACTTATATTATCCATGTGAGTCTACCTAGATTCCCCCTTGTTTCTTCTTTAAAAACATTCCAGCAAAAACTCAACAGGACTGTCACTGCCAAAAGCAGATCAGCCTCAGGGCTGTTAATAGATTTATCGGGATGAGAGTTCAAGCCCAACTCATGGAGGTGCTATATAGCTGGGTACAGCGACCAATAGCAAAACAGGGAAACTGCAACAACCCAGTCTTCTTGAACAGGATAGGAGCACCCCCCCAACTGTGTGTGTGTGTGTATGTATATACACGCATCTTGCTACACAGAGATTTAAATCCATCCCTCCACCCTCACGGTTGGTCCTGCTGCTCAAGGCTCTGGGCAAGACCTCCATCCCACCATGTGCCTCCCATCCACATGGTTTCTGAGTCCTCCCTGTGCCTGCACTTGCTTTTGATACCACTGTGAAGGGCTGGAAGTGCCTGCTACGAGAGACAGATCCGAAATGGGTAAGGCAAAACAGAGGACTCATCATTGCCCACGAACAAAGTGGCTGTTTGCACAAAAGACAGCGTTTGCTCTCTCCCATCCGTTAGTCCATCAGGTAAATAATGCACGTGCCAAAACACACACTTAATGAGGTAAATAATATGCCTTGAATAACGGCTAAATCTGTATTTACCTGCGAGACCAGAGAAACTCGGAAGGACCAGATTAGGAGATAATTGCGGCTGAGCACGCTGTGTGCCTCGAGTAAACACGCATTTGGTAACCTTCCCTTTCCAAGGTTTTGAGTGAAAGGCAAAAATCAAAGGAGCTGAGATGTTTAAGACTGAGCCAGTGCCCACACTGCCAATTCCATGCGTAAATGCATCCCCACCTTGTGGTTTTCACGTTCTGGGGGGTGCTTGCTTTATTAAAGCAGTGTGCCAGGCAGCAGGTACCTGGAAAACTGAATACTCAAGATACAAAACCATAATGAAGAGCCCAACTTCATCTTTATCCTAAAGGGGCTCAGTTCTACTTATTGTTTTTCCATCTACAGCTTTTACTGTCATTAACAAAAGGCATTACAGCCCAAATAGAAGTTATATTCCCTTCTAACCTGCTCCAGATAACATACATACTTTATCAGATAAGAGATATTTAAGATAGATGTGCTTTAAACTACCAGCTATGAATCTGAAGGCACATCACAGCAAACATAATATCTCAGAACAAAGCAGCTTCTAAGTTAGTTGCAGTAAAACCTGGTCTTTAGCCTACTGCATAAAGTAAAACACACAGTTGGAGTGGAGGAGGCAGGCAGGCTCCAACCCCTATATCAAACACAGGCAATAAAACATATATAATCCACCCACATGCAGCAAGATCAGTACCTCTCTAATTTATCTTAACCGGCAAGACCAGGGCATCAGACATGAACCCCACAAATCTTCAGGCTGGTGCACACCATGCACAGTAGTGCAGAGGTTCCTGAGCCACTGAGCCACACAGCAAAGTTAAATCTGAGCAGGATTCAGGCTCGTCACCATGCAGACATGGCAGCACCACTCCAGACCCCGGCAGGTCTGGGTTCCACAGGTACCATGGCACATCAGCACAGGGAGTAACAGCCAATATCTAGTGCCTGTTTACATTACAACCTCTGCAGGTGTTCCATATCTAACAACAGGATCAGGCTCCCCATACTAAAATCAGCCTTCCTCCCTATTCTTCTGTGTAGTGCAGGGAGAAATGCTCTAAACAAAGGTGCACGAGTGGGGTATTGCATGCTGATTCCCCTACACAGATGGCATACAAATAAGGGCAACCCCACTACAAACTCTGCACCTTCAGCCAAATGAAGTTCTAACTGCATGTTTACCCAGACACTGGTCTAGGTGCCCTGGGAAGACCTCATATCATCTTCTTTGGCAAGGTCAGAGCATGAGATAGCTGGTGAGCAAACAGACTTTATTAGAAGTCATGTAAAGCATTTATAACGGCTAAGACAATGCAAAGCACTAGTAATTATCCTGTATTTTTTTCTAACAGACAACAATGCAAGCAATGCAGCTTCAATGCAGCTCTATCCATATAAATCCACATGTTCAGTGATTCCATTTCCAAGCCTATGTAAAACACCACATACATATTTGTTACGCACACAGGATCAGATTACAATCTCAGACAGGGCAAGCTGTCACATCTGGCATTCAGCACTACTAGGTTAATATTTCATATCACACAGCTCTGATTCCTTACACAGATACATATGAAACGTAATGGGACCATGAACTGAGGCTGGACCTCAGGAATTATTTTGACAGATTGTACACAGACCTAGGAAAACGCGACAGCACTTTATATTTGCAACACCCAATAACATGGGAAACAGCTTCATGTGGTGTGTTTCAGCTGGAAGATAAAGTTTGTGTTATGTGCTATATATCAGCATGTGCCACATGTGACACCATCTAATTGACAACTGTCTTTAAAAGTCATTAGAAAAAACATCTGATCTGGACATCAGTTACGTGCAGGTAACAGGACAAGCTCAGGCTGACCACAGCTCTTGTTTGTTTAGTGGTTCAAGAACATGATACTAAATCAAGACAGTTTTGACCATGAGCGAGTGAGGAAAGCCAAGAGAAAGGCAAGTGCCAGCTGCTGCCACCAGCTTCCCATGGGCCCCACTGAGTAGGAAGTGGAGAATCTGCACCAGTGGCCATCATGCTCCAAGCTTCCCACTGGGAAAGCTGCTTGGGGCAACCACAGGTGGCAAGGAACTCCTGCCACATGAAGAACACTGGTGACAAAAGCCAGCAGGGCACTGCAAGTGCTCTCTCCTACCTGCAGGACAGCCCCAGAGCCAGAGACATGCACCATGTGCAGAGGATTCAAATTCCTCAATGGATAATGAATTAGCCTATGAACTTGAGCTAATGGGCTCTTTGCACATAACATAATATTTACCTTTTACAACCACATCTAATTAAAGTATCTGGGAGCAAGAGAAGGCATGCATGACTTTAACAGCTTGCCTTTAACCCCAAAATACTCCCCTGCACTGTCCAGTTTGATAAGCTGATAAGGAAGGAGGCAAGAAGACAAAAACTTAAGTTCAGGTTGGAAGGGTGACCCAAGAAATTGTTTTATGAGAGCCTCCATTTACACATCAATTACTTTGTTACGGCAGTATATCCCCTCCAACATATTCAAAACCAAAAAACCCCGCACTAATCTAAATGACAAGACAAACTAAAATGAAAAAAATAAAAGCAAGCAAGCTTTGGGAGTTTCATGCTTCATTTTAATCCCTGTGCAAAGCCTGGATAGCGGCAGCTGTGACTCCTGGTCTCCTACAGACAACTGAACTCAAGGCTAGAGCAGCCAAAATCAATCCAAAATATAAGTCAGGTTTGTCTTACTTTATTAAATTATAGGGTCTTGTTTTATTAAATTATAAAGGATAAAAAGATAGGGTAATAAAGATGCTTTTTGTAGAACAAAACTGCATACATTTAGGAACACCTGGAACAGAGTATAACAAAATTCCATTTTGGTAGCTGTTCAAATGCATACTCAGAGGTCAAATGTGAGCCCATATTTCAGTTGTGTGAAGATTTAACTGAAGAACAATAGAGATGACTCCATAGATTTCTTTAAAAATCAACCTTAAGCTAGACCCAAGTATTTTATTATATGAACAACAGTCCAAAAATGACAGCACCTGGCTAGCCTGCGAGGCAGGAAACAGACTATGAACAAAAGCAGCTTATCCACTCTCATGATCCAAACTTGGGAAAAAAAACAACAAAACAAAACTAGAAAAAATACATAAAGTAAAACAAACAACAAAACACAAAGCTTTCAGAACCATTTTAATAATGTCACATAGTTTTAGACAGGTAAATTTGCTTCTTTACTTCGTTAACCTCATGGTATCATCCCTTGAACATGAATCCAGTATACTTCATGGTTCCATTTCCTTCACTTTTGGCTGGGTTTGTCTCTGGCACTGCTAAACAACCAAGCCTGTGTTTTGGAAAATTCATTACATACTTTTCCCAAGCATTGCCACAGGATGCCTATATGCTGTCCCATCATTACTCAGCTCAGATACAACTTGGCATCAATCATTTTGTTTTTACAGCGCTCCACAATCATACCCAGTCTCTTCCCACTAGAGATGAAGAGGTTCCTGTTCTCAAGAACTTAC